TGTGTGTGTGTGTGTGTGTGTGTGTGTGTGTGTGTGTGTGTGTATATGGCATGTGTGAATATGTATGTTATGCATATGGTGTTTGCTCTGATTGTCCTTTTCTCCCTGGTAAGCTGGTTGCCCAGATGCTGGTTGCTCTTGTGTGACCTGGATCCCTGATGCTCATTATTGGACACCCATCTGGCCGCCCACCTTCTTGGCTCCCCTCTGTCATGGAGCTAACGGGGGCAGGTGCTTCCAGCTCCCTTTCCTGTCTGACGCCCCCCCCACCCCCGCTTAGTGACTCTAGTGACCCCTCTTAATAAAGGAGCAGAAAAAAGAACTTAGACAATTCTCTTTAGGCAAAACCTGACTTTCAAACTGTTGCCTGGCTAAGAACATCTTGTTCTGGATGTCCAAACCTGCAGAGTAACCTGCCCTTTTACGTTGCTGCAGTGAGAGCCAGTCCCACTCTGGATGTACAAACTGACTTGCCAATTCCCATGGAGTCACTGGGCTGCAGTTACACCGTGGCAGGCACTGCAGAGGGGACCAGGTGAGAGTGGGGAGAAATGCCTTCCTGAGAGGCACGGAGAACTACAGCAAGGACCTGGCATTCCCCGGGGAGAGACAGGTGGAAAACAAGCGAACACCCACACTGGCTTCCCCCCGGTGCCCCCAAATCCACCCCTCCGGGCCAGACACCCTACTCAGTGGCACACATGAGGAAAAGGGCGGAAGGTGGAACATATCACAGATGTTTGGCTTGTGCCTCACGACACTGATGAGGGGAACCAGCCCCTCCATAACCGTAAGACCTTCTTGTCATGTGTTATTAAAGTTACAAACTCAACTAACAAAAATCCCTGAAATGTTTTACTCCCTTAAAGGCATACCCACTTTATTCTTCTGAAGGAATGCCACAGTTTCTTTCCTTTCAAAGGTACATCTGAATCTTTTTTCAGGTGTGAATTTTACTTGCTGCTTATTACTCCCCTGTTTACAAAATATATACAGTAAGTCCCCTACACACAAATGAGTTCCGTTCCGAGTGTGCATTCCTAAGTCCAGTTTGTTCGTTAAGTCCAACAAAGTTAGCCTAGGTACCCAACTAACACAATCGGCTATATAGTACTGTACCGTAATAGGCTTATAATACTTTTCACACAAATAATACATACATAAAAAACAAACACAAAAACAAAGAAAACACTCTTAATCCTACAGTACAGTACCTTGAAAAGTACAATAGTACAGTACAACAGCCTGCATACAGGGGCTGGCACGCATGTTCGCATCTTTGAAAGCAACTTGAAGGTTTGTGTGTAGGGGACTTACTGTACTTGAATCATATCTCCAACTTATATGTTAAGATTGGATCCCCTCTAGATAAAAACAATGTTCTGGAAAGCAGAGGATAAGGAATCTTGAGTAGTACTTATGTATAAAAGAGGACCCAGCTGTGGGCTGATTGATCCTCCCTTGATTCCTCTTACACACAGATCTTGAGTAGTGATAAGTGGCAATGCATGTGTATATTACACTATCCTATCCTGATATATATAATATCATGCCATATCTCCAGTATATAATGTCAGGCAGTAATAAGAGTCAGGAAGAAAAATTAAGAGTGTAAATGGGATAGGGAGTGATAAGGACATGCTGTTTTATGCAGGGCAGTTAGGGGAGGCTTCTCTGAAGAGGTGATATTTGGGCAGAGACTTGTGGGGTAAGAGAGCCAACCAGGCAGCTGTCTGTGGCAAGAATGTTCTGGGCGTAGGGAAGAGCTAGCACTGGATGCCTTGTTAGGGCCTGTGGTCCTCCCAGTGGAGTGGCCACCCCGCCCCTCCTTAGAGTCCCTGCAGGCTCTCAGCTCAGCTGTGTCCCCCGAGGGTCCCCTACACACCACACTGGGGGCCTGAGGCCCTGAGGTGGGCTTGTTCAAGGAATCACCAGGAGTCCTGTGTGTCTGGCGTCCTAGGCAATGAGGTCAGAGAGGTAGCGGGGCCAGTTTTGTGTGGATACACCACATATTGTTTATTCATCTGTTGATGGACATTTGGGTCGTTTCCACTTTTTGGCTATTGTGAATGATGCTGCCATGGAATTTGTGTAGGTTTTGTGTGGACCCATAGTTTCATTTCTTTTGAGTAAATGTATAGGAATGAAATTGCTAGGTCATAGGTTAACTCTGTGTTTAACTCTTTAGAACTGTGTCTTTTCAACCACAGCTGAACCATTTTGTGTTCCCACCAGTACTGTGTGAGGGTTTCAATTTCTCTACATCCTCACCAACACTTGTTATTGTCTGTCTTTTTTACTACAGCCATTGTAGTGATTGTGAAGTGGTGTCTGAATGTGGTTTTGATTTGCATTCCCCTAACGACTAATGGTGTTGAGCATCTTTTCATTTACTTATTAGCTGTTTGCCAATAATCTTTTTGGAAAGGTCTGTTCAAATCTTTTGTCCATTTTTATTTGTCTTTTTAGTGTTGAGTAGTAAGATTTATGTATATATTCTGGATACAAACCCCTTATCAGACGTGATTTGCAAATATTTTCTCCCATTCTTTGGGTTGTCTTTTCAATCTTGAGAGTATCCTTTGAAGCACAAAAGTTTTTGATTTTGATGAAGTCCAGTTTATTTTTTTTCTTTGGGTGCTTATGCTTTTGGTATCATATCTAAGAAATCATTTTCTAATCCAAACTCATGAAAAGTTATACTTTATGTTTTCTTCTGAGTTTTATAGTTTTAGCTAGCATTTTTGGTTTTAAACAGCATTTTTTATCCCCCTTTAAATGCATGTCATATGCTTTCCTTTAGTACTTTTCACAAAAAGAATAAGCCACTGTCCTTCATTTGAAAAATAAACCAAACCCCTATTCAAGCTGTACAAATAAGAGTGATCAGAAAAGTTTTTTTATACAATTAATGGTATCAGTTATATAATACTGTTTATTCAACATAAAAATTATCCTCTGTCTCTTACTATCTTCTTTCTCATTTCCTTAATACCTAAAAATTGGGAACTTCTTTGTTCATTTAATTTCTTTTCCAAAAGTTTTAAGTAGATAGAATCCAGTAATTTTTAATTTATATACTAAATAGCTGAAATAAATTGATTTAGGGCTGCTTGTTTGTTGTGTCCTAATTAAATTAAGATTGCATATAATATTGCAAGAAAATATTTCAAAATATTTACTTTAAGCATCTTTTTACAAGTCACGAATTAACATGTTATTCAAAATATGTTCATGTCAATTCCACATATTCATTAAAGTGGGTTCCCAAAAAATTGCTAAGCTACATTTCTTTATCCCTTATTCAGTTTTCATATGATCTAGAAACTATGCAATATTTTTCTTAAAATAGTACTTTATCATTTTTCTTATAAAAGTGTTACACACTAGTTTTGGGACTTTCCTGGTGGCACAGTGGTTAAGAAAATGCCTGCCAATGCAGGGGACACGGGTTCGAGCCCTGGTCTGGAAAGATACCACATGTCACAGAGCAACTAAGCCCGTGCGCCGCAACTACTGAGCCTGTGCTCTAGAGCCCGCGAGCCACAAATACTGAAGCCCGTGCACCTAGAGCCTGTGCTTCACAACAAGAGAAGCCACTGCAAGGAGAAACCCGCACACTGCAATGAAGAGTAGCCCGCACTCACTACAACTAGAGAAAGCCTGTGTGCAGTAATGAAGACCCATTGTAGCCAAAAATAAATAAATTTATAAAAAAAAAAAAGTTTTACACCCCAGTTTTAAAAGACATTAAAACACAGATAAGCACGAAGAAAAGGTAATTAATCTCCTGAAATCCCACCACCTTTGTCAGTGAGAAAGTGAGTTGAACTTGATTTCTGGTTGCATTTTCATTCTTCAACCTCAGAGCCCCAAGAATGAAGAGCAGTGTCTTTGGCTGATTGGTTTTTTACTGAAAGTTTGCAGGCAGCTGATTTTTGTTCCTTAAACCTCAAGCCCTTGCCACCGTTGTTTCTTCACTGCAGGTTCCACTCCTTTCTGCTCTTTATGGGTCACCCACCTTATGCGATTCGGGAAGTGAACATAAACAAGTTCTGTAGGATCATCAGTGAGTTTGCACTGGAGTATCGCACCACCAGGGAAAGAGTTTTGCAGCAGAAACAGAAACGGGCCAACCACAGAGAGAGAAATAAGACCCGAGGGAAGATGATCACTGATGTAAGTTTCATGAAACCAGTTTCTTTATTTCATTTCTTCTGAAAGTCTGATCAACCATAAACCTCTCTACAGGGGCTTCCCTAGCGGTCCAGTGGTTAAGACTCCACGCTTCCAGTGCAGGGAGCGTGGGTTCAATCCTTGGTCAGGGAACTAAGATCCTGCATGCCGCACAGCACGGCCAAAAAAAGGAAACAAAAACATAGAACTAAGATATAAATTAAGGATGCGTGGCTGGTGGAGGAACTTTAACCCACCACACAATTAATTAACTCGGTGTGTTGTATGATGCTGATGACTTTAAATGCTTGATTCCATTTTCAACCTTTGCAATGTGGATAGAATGGAAGAGGAGAAGAAAAAATACAAGAGGCCCGTGTACAGCAAAAAATAAAAAATAAAATACAAAAGATAACGGCACTTATAACAGGAAGACAAATGTACTGATTTGGGAATTGATTCAGGATTTTAATAATCACAATGATACTATGTAACCAATCAGCTGACACATGGACCACCCATTCTAGGCATCCGAATGGAGAAATAATTGATGTGGTTGCTCAAAGACATAATCTGATGGACTCTTGGCAGTCCCTTGAGTTTGAGGGTATCAGGGTGGAAGGAGAGCCCAGAGGACAGTGAATTCATTCAGCAGGAGTTCGCAGTAGCCCCTTGGGGGGGCCCTGCACACTTGCATGCCTCCCCTGCTCCTGGGCTCTTCCCCCATCTCTTCTACTTCAGCCCTGAGCCCACCCACACCACGGGTGCAGTGGGAAAACATCAAATGGGAGATGCTTTGTAAGTGGAAGGCAAAGCAATGCATAAGGATGCCAGAGACAGACAAAGACACACAGTGCAGATGCCTCTCTAACGAGCCTTTATGAAGTTTAGCCCATCTTTATATATATCTGAGCGTCATATTGCCTCTCAGTGATCCAGGGACTGGATAGGCAAAGGAATAAGCCATAGGGAGTGGCATCATCCTGGGGTTGCAAACCTCTGCCGAACCCAAGTCAGGCAGATTTCTTCTGGGAGGAATAAAATCACTTAAGAACTCACTGAGGCTGCCTTATGTGCCAGACGGGTGTTCACACTGTAGGAGAAACAGAAGACATATGGTTACTATCCACGTTCCTGAGGGTGTAACTTTCTTGGATGCATTACAATTTTGTTACCATTTTAAGGCATTTCTAAGGAGAACCAGGGACTAATCCCCTCACCATTCACCCCACCCTTGATCCCTTGTTTCCTTGGAATTTTCTGGACCCTTAGGGAGCGCTCAGATCACTTTTCTGCAGAAGGGACCCTCTCTACAGACTGTTCTGAAGGCCAGTGCCATCAGCTGAGTCTTCTCTCTCCTCTCCTGAAATCTGGGTTCAATCGGATCTTCAGCTTCCTGGAGGACAGCAACTAAGGAAGCAAACTGAATCCATTTGGGCAAACTATAGCCCACATTTCATTCCAAAGTATTATTTTTAAAAGTTTTAAAAGGGAAGTGCTTATGTTTGTGGAAATGAAACATACTGGAGGGTGAAAAATACAAGACCAATATGCATATGCTTATAGTTATGAAAACACACCAGAATTTCTTGCCAAATTCTTGAGATTTTTTACAGATCCCACTAATTTTTAAGTTCTGTCCTTCTCTGAAAATATTCAGTATTACTATTTATAAACAGGGGTAAATGTTTCTAGAACTGGATTCAAAAATACTTAAATTCTCATTAAAGTCTGGACAGTGCAGGCTTTTTTAGGGTTCATCCTCAAGGTAGTCCCTGTTTTTAGTGGTCCAAGTGGCACCATTCATGTAGAGAGATTGCCATCTGCTGGAAAATTAGGACACTGTCACCCGAAGCAAAGTACTTAGCTTCAAGTTTTTCCAACTCTCAATTAGGCACCTATCGTGTGCCCAGAAAGTGGCACAGGGCACCTAGGAAGATGTGAGTGCAATAACAGACAAGCTTGTACCCCAAAGATGTCATGATCTGGGTAGAAAACAACATATATGCACAACTTAGACCACTGAAAACAAAACCACTTAATAGAGAATCACGGAGCCCCTGAGCATTAGAGCTGGAAGTGATTTTTAGAGAAAACTGTAGTAAGTCATTTTTAATATAGATGCTGAATAATGATGGTGGAAGTGGTTGCAATTAAACAGAGATGACTTTAGAAAAAACATTATTTTATAAGACACAGAGAAGTCTGGGTAAAATCTGAAGACCCTGCATTCGTAGCCCCACATCTGCTTTTGTGTGCCTGTCTTTCCTCTTCTTTCTCTGTTTCTGAATATGCAGAAGGCTTCCTTTCTTACAATCCAGGAGTCCTGCCATGTAAGGTTCAGTGAGAAACTAAGTCATTCCTTGTTCCTTGTGGCCCAAACTAGTTCCAGGCAAAATGGTGACACAGACAAGGCAGCACAAGGTAAGTGTGGCCTTTTCTGCCGTCATCACACCCCAGATGAGTGGTGAGAATGCAGGCTATCCATCCAAGGATTCCCACAGCCCAGCCAAGGACCGTGGTCATCCTGGGTGAGACTTAATCTCTCCCAACCCCAGCTTCCTTTTCTATGAAAATGAAATGCCAGTGACTGGGGGATATCAAGAGGGCTAGAGATTTGTATGTGCAGTACCTTGCATGTGTGCTAATTGCCAACAAAATGCCAGCCAGCTGGTGAAATAAAGAAGCTCTAAGGTTGAAGATGGCGGAGTAGAAGGACGTGTGCTCACTCCCTCTTGTGAGAGCACCAGAATCACAACTAACTGCTGAATAATCATTGACAGGAAGACACTGGAACGCACAAGAAAATATACCCCACATCCAAAGACAAAGGAGAAGCCACAATGAGATGGTAGGAGGAGCGCAATCACAATAAAATCAAAGCCCATAACTGCTTGGTGGGTGACCCACAAACGGGAGAAACTTATACCACAGAAGTCCACTGGAGTGAAGGTTCTGGGCCCCTGGTCAGTCTTCCCAATCTGGGGGTCTGTCAACGGGAGGAGGAATTCCTAGAGAATCAGACTTTGAAAGCTAGAGGGATTTGATGGCAGGACTTGGACAGGACTGGGGGAAACAGAGACTCCACTCTTGGAGGGCACACACAAAGTAGTGTGCACATCAGGACCAAGGGGAAAGAGCAGTGACCCCATAGGAGACTGAACCAGACCTACCTGCTAGTGTTGGAGGGTCTCCTGCAGAGGTGGGGGATGGCTGTGGCTCACCGTGAGGACAAGGACACTGGCAGCAAATGTTCTGGGAAATACTCCTTGGCGTGAGCCCTCCTGGAGTCCAACATTAGCCCCACCATAGAGCCCTGGTAGGCTCCAGTGTTGGGTGGCCGCAGGCCAAACAACCAACACGAGGGAACCCAGCCCCACCCATGAGCAGTCAAGTGGACTAAAGTTTTACTGAGCTCTGCCCATCAGAGCAACGCCCAGCTCTACCCACCACCATTCCCTCCCATCAGGATACTTGCACAAGCCTCTTAGATAACCTCATCCACCAGAGGGCAGACAGCAGAAGCAAGAAGAACTACAATCCTGCAGCCTGTGGAACAAAAACCACACTCACAGAAAGATAAACAAGATGAAAAGACAGAGGGCTATGCATCAGATCAAGGAACAAGATAAAACTCCAGAAAAGCAACTAAATGAAGTGAAGATAGGCAACCTTCCAAAAAAAAAAAATTCAGAATAATGATAGTGAAGTATATCTAGGATCTCGGAAAAAGAATGGAGGCAAAGGTTGAGAATGTGTAAGAAATGTTTAACAGAGACCTAGAAGAATTAAAGAACAAACAAACAGAGACGAACAATACAATAACTAAAATGAAAACTACACTAGAAGGAATCAATAGCAGAATAACTGAGGCAGAAGAACGGATAAGTGACCTGGAAGACAGAATGGTGGAATTCACTGCTGCAGAACAGAATAAAGAAAAAAGAAACAAAAGAAATGAAGAAAGCCTAAGAGACCACTGGGAAAACATTAAATGCAACAACATTCACATTATAGGGGTCCCAGAAGGAGAAGAAAGAGGGAAAGGACCCAAGAAAATATTTGAGGAGATTATAGTCGAAAGCTTCCCTAACATGAGAAAGGAAATAGCCACCCAAGTCCAGGAAGCACAGAGAGTCCCAGGCAGGATAAACCCAAGGAGAAACATGCTGAAACACATAGTAATCAAATTGACAAAAATTAAAGATGAAGAAAACTTACTGAAAGCAACAAGGGAAAAACGACAAATAACATACAAGAGAACTCCCATAAGGTTAACTGCTGATTTCTCAGCAGAAACTCTACAAGCCAGAAGGGAGTGGCATGATATCCTTAAAGTGATGAAAGGGAAGAACGTACAACTGAGATTGCTCTACCCAGCAAGGATCTCATTCACATTCGATGGAGAAATCAAAAGCTCTACACACAAGCAAAAGCTAAGAGAATTCAGCACCACCAAACCAGCTCTACAACAAATGCTAAAGGAATTCCTCTAAGTGGGAAACACAAGAGAAGAAAAGGACTTACAAAAACAAACCCATAACAATTAAGAAAATGGTAATAGGAACATACATTTCGATATTACCTTAAATATGAATGGATTAAATGCTCCAATCAAAAGACACAGGCTCGCTGAATGGATACAAAAGCAAGACCCATATATATGCTGTCTACAAGAGACCCAATTCACACCTAGGGACACATACAGAATGAAAGTGAGGGGATGGAAAAAGATATTCCATGCAAACGGAAATCAAAAGAAAGCTAAGGTAGCAATACTCATAGCAGATAAAATAGACTTTAAAATAAAGAATGTTACCAGAGACAAGGACACTACATAATGATCAAGGGATCAATCCAAGAAGGAGATATAACAGTTATAAATATATATGCACCCAACATAGGAGCACCTCGATACATAAGGCAACTGCTAACAGCTAGAAAAGAGGAAATTGACAGTAACACAATAATAGTGGGGGACTTTAAGACCTCACTTACAGCAA